AAAAAAAAAAAGAGGTCAACTCTACAAAGAAAAAAAAGCAAAAATATCCCAAATTGTGACAAACCATGACTGCAAAGCCAGAGATTTGGAGAGGAAAAAAAAAAGTGGGTAACATCTAAAGAACCCCAAACTACAGGATACCGTAATAGAGAGCACTTCCCTTTTCAAACTCCACTTACTACTGAAGCACAATCTGATGAACTGAGAGTAATTTGTGCTATTCCTGAATTTACTGTTTAGGAAATAAAAATCAAACAACTATTGCTATGTAATGATCAAGAGCTTTTCCTTTTTCTCTTCAATATGAAATATGCAGAGCATGCAAAAGCTTGTCTTCTTCCAATGCTATATTTGCTCAGCCTCACATTTGTGGGCATTTTATTTCTCTAAACTACTATTCAAACCAGTTTTGCTCACCCTGAAATTTAGAACTTGTTTCCTCCAAGAGAAGTCCACAATCTGATTGGGCCTGGGGGGATTTTTGATTTTTCAGATAGAAAAAAGGAATCTGTTTTTCAAACCAGAAAGTCCCCCAGTCACAGCACTACAGTCAGAAGTAATCAGAGGGATAATTAAATATTCTAAGTAGGGGCACACGGCTATGCTGATAATTCTCTCTTTACATAGGGAAGGAGACTGCACTTCAAGTGTTTAAGCAGTATTGCTGCTTAAAAGGGAGCATCCTTCTTCCCAGCTGGGCTCCATAGTTCTCAAACTGTTCAGCACAGGAGAGGGGCCTTGTTTCGTTCAGGCCAGAACACTCTGAGCTATAAAACACTGCAAACTGGCACTGTACGGTACCTTCACAGCTCTTTTTGTCAGGACCAAGTTCATAGCCAGGATCACAGGCGCACTGGTAACTGCCCAGGGTATTTACACAGCGCTGCTCACAACCACCGTTGTCAGGTTTGGCACATTCATCTTCCTCTGCCAAGAGGGGGAAGAAGGCAAAAATGTGTTCAAAAATCACCAGCTGCAAATGCTGAAGCAATATTAACCCCACAAGCTGTACGCATGTGGTGCTGCAATACCCACTGGTTGCTGACTAGAGCATTTTCAAATGCTAAGGAGATCTGTAATGGAGAAAATAAAGTCTTATGTTCCATTTTAAGAAAGAAAGAAAAAAAAAAAACCCAAAACAGCAAAACCTACTGACAGCTGCAAACCTAATTTATAAGCACTTTGTTGCCAACATACAATAATTTAGGCAGCAGCAATCTAAAGGTTGTATAAAGTACTGAAGGAAAGATTGAAAATCCACAGCAGGGTCACTTGAAGGGCACTTCATCTCCTACAGAATCAATTCCTGCATTATCCCGAATTCATACTCAAAAACGGATTAACAGAATCCTCAAATCCCAGGTTTTCATTCTACTGATATTAAAGTGAACAAGACGCAACAGGGATGGGGGAGGAAAGGAATAATTTATTTTCTCTACTAACTACAAAGGATGCCCATGAGATTCATTGTTGAAATATTCCTAAAATGTTAAAACCTGTTTCCTTGCACCAGGGCCAATAACTTCTTAAGAATAAAACTGTTGAAATATTCCTAAAATGTTAAAACCTTGCACCAGGGCCAGTAATTTCTTGAGAATAAAAGCATGCTCCCACTATTGCATGTGCAACCTTCAAGGTTTTAATTTGGCCATAGAAAAGTGATGATTAGGGTGAGAAAATCCCTAACAATTAGGGTGAGACAACCCTTAGCTTGTGGCTCAAAGGGAGCCGGTGGGTCCAGGTGGTCACTTGCACGCTAAGGGCAACACAAGGGCCACATCACTGCTACCAGCCTAGCAAAGACCTATTGTGATTATATTATTTCATTCAATGCTCAACAACATAATAAATGCAGAAAACATTTGGTGAGATCAGATCTGTTTCAGAAGTGATTTAAAGCTAAACTGTGTAAATCTCACAAGAGCAGAAAAAAAAAGCATTAAATATGACTCTTCATTGAATGTCCTTTTTCTGTATATATTTTACAAGGAAGCTGAAATAATTCCACCTTTTTGATTTGATAAAGTTACAATTACAATTAAAGTATATTGAAGATAGTACAGGACTGATTTTTGTAAGATGAGAACATTAAAAAACTACATCCTATCATAATTCTTCTACTACAGGACCAAATGATAAGCAGATCTCAACTCCCAAAACACTCTTTACCATTTACCTTTAAAAAAGTTAGCAGCAAACCCTGCTTTATTAACTGTTCCATCAGAAACGAACTTCATCCACAGGGTATTAGAGGTAGATCTAATATCTTCAGGCTTGTCGTAGCCACAAAAGTGCCCAATCAAAGGACTGTTTTCATTTGTTCCATCTCGAATTTCCAAGTAGTCATATGCACAGTTGTCGTGTCTTTCAATCTGTTAAAAAATAAATAAAAAAAACTCCACTTGATCATTAATTTCAGATATCAATAAACTAATAAATAGAACAGAAATTTCTGGAAGTTCTCATCGGTTTAGGTATGGTACACCTGAAGGGTGAAAAAATATAAGACACATCACTGGTTTTAACCACACTTGTATTTTTAGAAAGGAAAAGCTTTCCAAGATGCTTACACATGATACTAGAGTAACTGGAAGAAAATAACTGCAAAATACAAGCTCACCTCTAAACTTCCCAATATTCTACTTCAATTCAGAGCAGGAATTCAAGTCCTTTTTTCTCAAGTACAGTCTAGCATACAAGATTAAAGGCTCACCAACAAATCAGGTCAGAAATATTAATCGGTTTTAAAATAATTAAAAAGCTTAAATTTGATTGTATGAGTAAGATTTTTAGATAGCATTAAGTTGTACTGTTTCAGACAATGATTAATCCTACTTTATTTTCTTTTTTTTATTTCAATACAGGGGAAAAATTTGCATTTATCACTGATGCTGCAGGGTAACTATAAATACTAGCAGTGCATTAGGAATTTGGGGCATCTGAATAATGTTTGAGAGGCAGAATTGATCCAAACCCGTTTCTAAAATTATCATCTGTTAAGCAGCGACCACAGGATGAAAAAGGATGTTATTTTTTTTCCCCTCACAGACGCTGTGTCAGGTTTCTTTGCATGATTCCCGATTTCAGGTGTCTTCTGCCTTTCTGGGTCAACGAGGGGATCTTTGCATCAGAACAACGTACTGAAAGCAGAACTGAAAACGTGCATCTCATTTCAAGCGGCTGCTAGATGACAGCCAAGCACAGATGAGCACATGAGGACCCATGTGTACCCTCCCATCGTGCCAGCAAGTCTCATGCCATCTTCCTAAGAGCATTTGGAGCAGCAGTTGGAGCAGGAATTGCATGGAAGGAGACAGCACAGCAACCCAATGATGATCCTATGCAGAGCCCAGATCATTATGTGTGATTTGACAGAGAGAGAAGCTTTCACAATAGACTTAAAAACCTTTTTATTTACATCATTTTACTGCAGAATTACTTCATTTTTCTTACGTAACACAACATTTCAGCTATAAAAGAATCAACCAAACCCAAGTATGCAAAATAAATCCTGTAGGAAAACTGTTTTCAAGTAAGTGGCTGAATCAATCATGGGGTTCATTTTGCGATGGGGGAAGGCGTTGCAGAAGGCTCAAATTCAGCATGGCACATCCAAATTGTGTCCAAATGACAAGGCAAAACCAGACCCAACCCCACAACATTCATATCTTGCCCTTGGACAGAACTTCTCTTGTATAGAAGCTGCACAGTTAGTGCCGTGGGCTGCTGACATTGTGCCCTGTTCGTGTATTATGACCAACACTAAGCTCGGCAACCACTACAGACTAAGCAGCTTTTATTTAGCACCTTAGGATTTCTGCCTCTTTTATATAAGAGAGAAAACTTGGGGGAAGGGCTGCTTGATTTTGTTTCATTTTAATGCCAACAAAATATGACAGTCAAATTTTGTGTTTTCTCCCCAACTTTCCAATTCTTCAAGCACTTCTATACACAATTTTATCACACTCCCTTCCCTGGCACAATCCATACTGGCATTTACTGTAATACCTCAGCTGTTTGCTCACAAATAACTGGTCCAGGGCTAGGGAGATGAACAGGAAAAGACAGGAGATGCAAGCTACCTATTACTGACTTCAGCAGCAGCTGCACATTTTGGTGGCTGTGGTCAGGCACGGATCTACCTGAGCACTGATAAATCCCGGGCACACTGGCACCGATACCAGATTTTCATTAACCTAAAGAGTAAAGTTTAAATATGTGACATCGCATTCTGACCTGAAGGAAACCAACCCGCCCTTGTTATCTCAGTAGAAATAATACTGCACTGAAAGGGGGGAGCTGATCCAACAACCAGCAGCAGCAATGAAGGGATTTTGTATTTCCAAGCTGGTGCTCATTTCCCAACTCACAATTTTAAATTTTACAGTTGTTTTTTCAATGCTTCCCAGCTTCATTTAGTCACCGTGGAAGCTACTATTAAGTGCAGCTCTAAGAGGCATGTATCCAACTCCCATTGAAATGAAATGCTAGCTCCTTTTCCGAGAATCACCATTTATTTCTCCAGAAGACAGATAAAAATCTATTTTGGATAACGGTAACTTGCTAAACTTCCAAAGACTTTAAAAATAAAGCAACTGCGGAAGTGCTATTGATTTCCAATAAAACAATTCCAAAAGGTGACCATTTCACCATGGTGTGTAGTACACTACTCTGCATGATGCCATTATCAACTTTATTATATTGAGAGATTAAATAGATTGAACAACAATGAATTTAAAATGTGTTTTGCTTATCTGAACCTCAGATTTTCAGATGGGATGGTATTGTTATCTGGGAACAGTGCCATATAATAATCTATTACACTTGCAGTAAGGGAGGGAGCCCAATCCTCCAGGACTTGGAAACGAGTCAAGTCTGTTGTAGCTCTGCTAGGCTCATTCTGGTATCAGAAAGGCAGGAACACTGCAATTACCCTCTTCACGAGCCTGTTAACTACTGGATATGATATCCATACTCACTTAGGCCAAGCAACCTTGTCAACATTCATTTTTCACAAGAAAATTAAATTTCTTTGTGCATAGTTCCAGGTATAAAAATACCAAGTACAAAAAAATATAATAGACTATAGACTAAAACATGTTTGGTTAAAAAATGAAGACTACCTTCATTTAGTCCCTAACAGAAAAGATATGTGTATGCATGTATGTCTAGGAGAAGAAGGGGGTCTGAGGAACAACTCAAGGAGCAATCACATTTCAGAAGAAAGCTCCAAAAAAAACCTTTTTGGCATTGTTAATTCCTTTGTTGATACAGTCAAACCCTAGTTTACTTTGTAGATTAGTTGGAAAAAGTGGAAAACATGCCTAGTGGAATCTCTGATATTAATCCTTCAGATGATCTGATCAACTACCTTATATAAAATAAGTGAACATAATCCGCGATTAGATTAACAGGGCTACTCCAACGCGGAAGACTAAAGCAGGGAGGCTCTACACACATCCTGCACTGCCTACACACCCTCTGAACTGCCTGGCGAGGCTGGCTGCTCACTAAAGAATCCGCGATTAGATTAACAGGGCTACTCCAACGAGGAAGACTGAAGCAGGGAGGCTCTACACACATCGTGCACTGCCTACACACCCTCTAAACTGGTTGCTGAGGCTGGCTGCTCACTAATTTTTTTTTTCTTTTTTCTTTTCTTTTTTTTTAAGAACAAAAACCCACAAGGCCAAAACCCACAAAGACCAAAAGGATTTTTTCCTCCTCCTCCTTTAGGAATTAAAAAAGATGACTAACAATGATAAATCAAAAATATGGAGTTACCAGTCACAACATGATTACTGCTGTCATCTAGATACTATATAGTTCTTCATCAAGCAGCCAAGTAAGAAAGGGCAATCCTCAGTGGAAAATGCATTGCCCACAGCAGGCAAAACAAGATGACTCAGATTCAGCTTGAAATTCTCAGCTTTTCTGATGCTTTCATTTCAGAGCGGAGGTTATTCACACAGTTATTTTTTCTAGCATTACATATAATGAGAATTCCTCTTACTTAAATGTACCTTTCAAAGGACAGAGAAGTAATTTTCTCACAAACATACTGCAGTAACACTTTGGTCTGACATTTACAATTTTTGATCTAAACTGGCATGAAAGACTGATTTTTAAACGAGTTTTTGCTTTACTGGGCAATGCACCAAGGATACAGTCCAGAAAGGGACTTAGTATCAAAACAGAGCACTGGAGCACCTATATTCAGCCACTTGGACTTGAAATGGAAACCAGACCCTATGGTAAATGTCTAGGCACTTGAAGCAATTTCCAGAACAACTCTCATTTGCAGTAGGGAGCCACACGGAATAGCCAACAAGAAACACTGAGGTGATGGATGTAAGAGAAGCCTTGTGCTTTTCTGGGGCACTTCATCCCATGCTCAATAGCAGCACCAGACTCTCCCTGGAAAAGTCTTTGCCTTTCCAGTCTCCACCATTAGTGAATCTTTTTCCTTCAAAACACATCTAGCAGGGATGCTAACGCCCCTTTCTTTATATTTGAGACTACTACTCAACCATACTCCTTCAAATTTCTCTTGCTTGGGAGATGTGAGTCCACACATTTCACTTCCAGAGAGCCCTCTAATACTAGCTCTTCTGTGGGAAGAACTGGAGCACAACATTTCTTCTTCTTCCAGCCTTAACGATTAACTTATCTCAAGCTCTCATTTCCTGATTCGATGCCTGCAACTCTTTCCTGCTGCTGAGATATGAACGTACCGCTCGCACATTTGCAAAAAACCTATAATTTTGCGATCAAAGTCCCAAAAGGTAAGAAATGGGAGTCTGATTCTTCTGAGGCCAAGGTGAAACCGAACCGGGATCGGTTCAAGAGAGATAACATGTCATGAAGGTAGATCAATATGGAGCATCCGCATGGAGCACACTTACTTTTGCAAGGGACATATGCAGAGAGATAACACCATATTTCTTGGGACACCACCAAACTATTCCGAGCAACAATGAGAGATAGAAAAGCTCCTTATCTAGCCAGTAACTTATAAAAAGTGAGGAAAAAGAGTGCCCATTTTCAATACTGCTTGAAAAGAGGTATTAACATCCTATTTTAGGCAACCTCGAGTCAAGACAAGCCAAAAGGGTCTCCAATCAGAGAAAGCAGATTTTCTCTGGTCTAGTGAGGACATTAATTCGGAATATGAAGAAGTTCATTTCCAGTAGAATCTGTAAAATTACAAAAATCTTAACTGTTTATATTTGTAACTGTTAATAAGGTCTCAAATATTTGTTATCTTGTGCTCAGCTTTCAACGATATAAAAAGGTACCATTCACCTAAAGTCAGCCTACAAAACCAAAATTATAGGTTGAAAGATATATATTTGTGATATCTGTAATTAGTATATAAGCATACATAAACCTACAAAATGCAGATAAAAATTACATACACTGTTTTTCACATCATTACTACTGGAACATACTCAAAACAATTAAATTCTAGATAGATCACTAAATTTATACAGGAACAAGTCAGTTTATACTGTTGGCATAAAAATACATAGGAAATACATTTCTTTCTTTGTTATACAATAGTTTACCATTCTTTAACAATGTTTATATGGAAATGTATGTTAGAGATAATCAAATATGACTCACAGTTTTTTTCCCACCCTTTTCCCCTCTTTAAATATAGGTTTGTGGTCTGAATTTAAATAGCCTTTTTTCTTCTCTTCCATAACAGAAGCCAAAAAAACAGTGGCTTCTTTCTGGATAGATTTTGTTTTTTTAACACTGAAGTAAAATAACTGTAATATTTAACAGAGTACTGTAAACTATTGTCAGTACTCCAGAAACTTTCAAATCAATTAGCACAGATGATATAAAGAAAAAAACTTTTAAGCTTCTTGAAAAAATCTGCAAAACGGAAGATCTCAGAGACATTAAAATTCAATTGTGGAAGTTATTTTTCATATAAAATTCTTAAATTCCTTCCTAGGTTTAATGAGAATTCCCTTAAATTTCCCTGTCACATCCACTAGATGGTTTTCTAGTATCAGTTAAAGAGTTTTACCTCAAATGCTTGAAAGGTTAATCCGACATTGTAGTTTTCTGACACTGTTATTTTCCACACACATTCCTTCATTGGCCTGTAGTCATCAGGATAATTGGGAGACTGGATTTGGCCTTCATTTTTGTGGATCTCACCTCCACAGATAGCTGATAGTCAAGTAAAAAATTCCAAGTATATTATCAACAATGACATTTTCCTACTCCCATTTCAAAAATACCTTTATGCCCCTTAAACAATCAAATAAAAACTAAATACACACACACACAATAAAAACCCAGTGACTACTTTATTCTGGAAAGGATTTAAAGCCTGCCAATGACAAAATATTGAAATCAAAGTCTATTTAAATCACTGCATACTTTTCAGTCTACAATCTCCATTCATTATTTCTAATAGTTCTAAATATATATTTTCAAAAATTTTCAGCATCACTGATAAACTAGATCTATACATTTTTCAGAATATATTTAAGAGGTCAAAATTACAAGATTTTATTTTTTGTTCGCCTTTGAAATATATCTAGTATATATTCCTAATAAAAATTCACTATCCTTTAGAAAAAGATAATTGAGAAAGTCCATCTTTTTACCTACAGCTTATGAACTCAAGCTTGCCCAGAATTTGAAGAACCAGCAAATGTAAACAAATATTTTCATTAAGATTAGAACAGATAATCAATTAAATCATATGGTTTACCACCACAGATTTGATTTTTAAGAAACAATATATTTTAAACAGGTGAATGCTGACCCACTAACGTAGTCAGGATGTGAGAGGACGTTTTATCGAGCAATTTTAAAGCATATGAAAAGCCCAAATCAAGATCTTGCAAAGAATACACTCTGGAAACCAAAGAAAATGCAGATTTAGGTTATTAAAATGCAAGCAAGAAATACTTATGAACATCATGGGGTCTCTGGAAAGGAGATCACCTAAAGCCTGACCACATAAAAATGGCAAAATGTTCTATCTAGTGAATGTGTGCCTTCAACTACCTCTTTTAGTAATAAAATAATGATTTCATATCAAGTTACTCCTGACTTCTTTTCAAGCTATTGAAAGGTAACAGGCTAGTATTTTCTATCAGAATCAAGTCATTTCCAATGTTCAAAGAGACTTACCTTCATAAACTGCTGCAAACCCTTTTCCAACCCAATTGCTGCTGCTGCGGAACTCGATCCACATTCGGCTGTCCGTAGAGGCGAGCACTTCGGGCAGTTTGTCACCACAAAACCTGCCTAAAAACATGCAACCAGTAACTGCATTTTCTGCCGCCTCTGCAGCCAAATGCTGCAAACATTTATACATGTGTTTAACATTATGGATGGGAGTAGTGTAACCAACTCGGTGAAACTATTCACATGCTTAGAGTTAAGCACATGTGTTTCTGCAGATCAGGGCCTACTACGTACACAAAGATTTTATTATAAAGCTTTCAGGATTTTTTTCCACTGCTCTCAAGCTCAGGAGTCCAAGTATAAAACCTTAGCAGAATCAGGGGAAAAAGGCAGATTGTTATGGATTGCTTCTATACATACATATCCAGGGTCTTAAAGGGGTAAAGTGAGAGCAAATCTTAAGGGAGGAAAGTAATGTAGGTCACAATAACACTGCTCAACATCACCATGTCTCTTTAGACAATTTAAAAACTCAAAGCAATTTAAAAACTAACATCCAAATAACCCTAGACTACATAATCTTCTTAAATTCATCCTACATGGATAAAATTTCTGTTTGTCTGGGCAGGAGAGAGAGAAAGGGAGAAAAGGATAGTTACTGTCTGGTCTTTTTTGTTTTTTTTTTTCCTCATTTCTTTTTAAATGCCAAAAAAAGTACGGTTTAACAAAAAAAAAAAAAAAGAGAAAAAGAAAAAAAAAACCCACTATCCTCTGTATCCACTTCCCTTTTTTTTGTTGATTTTTAATTGCAGTAGTGAGAATGCTAATAAATAGTTTTAGTATTCACTCTAAAAAATAAACAAACAAAACTAACCAAGTTGGAGTATCTCCTGTTCCCTGTGGTCTGAAATACCCAGTTTCAATCACAGCAGATCACAGATGACAAGCAGCTTCTGGATTAGACTAATGCTATTCATTTTGAGCCCATAGAGCTAAAAGTTTTGAGGAAGGGAAAAGGTAATCGTCTTTAGTATTGTTTAAACATAAAGATTTTGGTTTTTGAGGACGTATTCCCCAAGAAAGATGTACTGTCTGTAAGCTACAGGTGGTAGCAAACACAGACATCACTTGCAGAATGTGGGATGCACTTATGTAAACTTTTTACAAACACAAAAATACACATATACTGAAATATGTTTAAAAATAGAGGGGCATCTTATCATTTAGAAGAATTCTTCTGGTCTTTATTAACTTAACTATTAAAATCCAAAAATGTAGCACTTGATTTTAGCTTAAAAACAACCGTGAAAAGGTCAGTGTTATTTTAGCGTACACTGCTTGCAATCTGTAGCTAGAATTAACCAATGACCTTTTTTCCTTCAATAATAAAGTACAAAGCAGCTATAGAAACAGTGCACCAAGGTCTAATAACAGTGGCATGACAAGATCTGAAATCTCCTCATCTAGCCTCTGAATAGAGAATGGCTGCAGTTTTCTGCATGATGTACCACTCTAAAATTTAATTTACTATTGCTACCCACATCTTTGATATAAAGTATAAAGATTTTCCTCTTCTCACAATTAATTAAGTATAGAAACAAAACTGGTAAGCTCTAGAGTGGGTGCTCTCACTCCCTGTGCATCATGTCACATGCTCTGCAAATGCCTTCCTATAGATTTGTCTGCGTATTATTTTCACATTTCTATTAAAAAACTATGGCAATTTCCTATCTTAATACTAATAAGGAAATCAAAGTTGCACATCTAATAGTTTTCATCTGTCCCTATGTAAAGTTGTATAACAGTTGGCTGAAATGAAATTAAGTCCTATTTACGTGAGGCCATTTGAGGGTTTTTTTGCATACCAAGAAGAGGTGATTTTCTCCAGTAGCCATCTCTTACTTCAATATAGTCGTACCAGCAGAGACTGCTCTTGTAAAGGTCCATCGTGGTGAAGTTTAAAACAATCTGCAACGACAGGAGAACAGCATGCCACCTAATTAAATCACCTGCAATGAGTGCTAGAAAATTAGAAAATCACCCCAACAACATTCTGGAACCAAAAGTGGCCATCAATAAAAGGCCTTAAACACTTGATTAAATACTCTTCAATTATTCTTATAGCATGGAAAAAGCTGTATTGCAAGGGAATATTAAAAGTAGTTTAGTCTCACATACTTGAGGAAGCTTTAAGATGGATGATGCCATTTTAACTGCTTACAGGGCACTTAACTGAGAAACACATACATGGGAAGGATGATAATAATAAAATGATTGATCCAGTATATTTAAGCATGGTATTCAGCAATTCTCCTGCCAATTTCTCTTCCTTCCCATTCCATAACTATCCCTGACGGCTATACACATTTTTTTGTTATCTGTTTTGGTTTGTATTTCACTTTTACTGCTCGTAGGATATTTTACTTTCAGACAAGTAATACAGTGAGTGAATAATACAAGTAATACACATAAGGACAGTGATGCTGAAAGGAATACCATTAAAAAGGCACTGCACGATCCCTTTCCATGCAGAATCTTACTGTAAAAAAGAAAGCTTTTAATATAGAAATCCAGGTTCTGGGCATCTCTTGAACTTTTGAACTTAGATTCCCAGTTTTACTGTGTGCAACCATAAATGGGCATATTTTCAATACATAATATTAGGATTTCTATAGACAATTACATGATCCCACTTTGTTTTAGAAATACAACTAATAAACTGCCAGAAACTTTTTCTCAAGTAGGAGTAGATCAGTACCACAATAGCTACAGGCAGGACCCTGAAGGGCTGGGACACTCTTAGCATTTTGCTTTGCAGCTTCAGGGATGAGTCAAAATAAGAAGATTAATTCACATTTTGTATTATAAAATAATTTCCAACTCATATCCTTTCAAAGGATTTAAGCATATGTGAAAAGAGAAAGCATCTTTCTCCAAATCAGTTCCTCGATTTACACTAAAATATTTCAGACTAATTAAAGCCTTCTTTACTAACATGTGAACACATAAATGTTTTTTTCTTTGTGGGTTTTGTTGTTTTTTGTTCGTCTGTTTTGTTTTTTAAAGTTTTGGTCTTAGGAACTCACCCTCTGAAGCAACTGAGGGCCAGTTAGAAGGACAGGAATTTATCCTTAGCCCAGCCGCAACAAGGAATAAGATCAAAGCAACGGGCCAGTCAGATGGGATCTTTTACTTCCATCTCTTCTGGCACCATATTTCTCTCTGAAGAAAACATAGTACAGTATAGCAAACCAGAAAGGCAGAATTTTTTCAGGCTATTCTGTCCAAAAGATAAAAATAGCTATAGAGGAACGTAATTTAACATTAAAATAAAGATCAGTGGTTTGGCCATCTCGGTGTTGACAGTGCAGTGTCACCATCAAGTTTCTTTTCCAAACAGTGCGAAATGGAGACAGTCCTTTAACTAAAAACTAAGTAAGTGTGTTAACATTAGGCTAGCAAAGCATTAGGGGTTGTTTTCACTTACTTTTCTCAGAAATCATGTATGTAGGTGCACACATTCAAGCAGTTATTCTCAAACATCTTTTTGTTGAGTGAAAACAGGAAATTAGTTTGTTTAATATTAAAAATCATTCTTATCTATTCCTGTCACTAAGTGCCAACAAACCATTGACTGTTTATGTGAAAAATCCAGCTCATGGATAATTCTATCAGCTTTCTCCTTTACTTTGCTTCTCAAGGAAAACAGAAAGCATCTGTAAGGTAACCTAGAAAGCCCAAGGAGCAGAAGTCCTTTACAGTAAGGCACATTATGCTGGCAGCCACATCCTTGTGGGATGAAGGTACGGGACAGGGAGCATGCCAAGGACCATCAGGCCGGCACTAAATAAAAGGTTACCTGTTCTGATGCTCGAGCTAGGCCAAATATTTATACCCACAAGCTGCTACTGCATTCACAAAAACAGCAAAGGGGTTGCTCAGACTACAGTCTATGTGTGGAAGCACCCTTGGAAGCAAGCAGTTTTGGAACACTTTCAGTGCAGGACATACAATCCATTTTTGCAGCTTTGGACCCCTTCCTATGATTATTTTAGGGCCACAACAGGAGGCAATAATTTAATCTCAAACCTATATGCAAGGAACATATGTTTTTATGTTTGTTCGATACCTTGGAAATTCCGCAACATTTAGATAATATTTACTCGTGTCCAGAACTGTTACTGGTACTCTGAAAAACTAAGTCCTGCAATGATGAATAGTCAACAAATTATATTGTAGGCTTCCATTCTGAGCTCAAAGAGAAAAATGGACTGAACTGAAATCAGGCACAATGCTGTGTAATCCCTTCTCTTTCTTGCAGTAGAAATTATATGAGAAATAAATATATTTTTTTTCAAAATGTGCATCCTTTTATATAATTTACAGGTAATATTTATATTACCTTAAGCTATTTTTCAGTATTCATATTACCCAGCCTTGGTTATAGATTCCTTTTCTCTGAACTTTGAAAATCACAGCAAATAAAATCCTAAAAAAAAAAGTTCCAAGTAATAATACTTTGCATTATGCGGATAGGGGATGCATTCATAAGCTGTAAGTTGAACTTCAATAAGAAGAAATGTTCTCATGTGAATGTAGTCGGTGAATAGGAGCAGTTACAGCTTTTTTTAATGGGAGATAGAGCAAATCAGTGCCTTTAAAAGCCGGAGGGGATGGCAGGTCCCAGTAAACTGCATCCCCTCGTGTTTCATCAAACCTGAACCCTGTCTTACTTCCTGGGCACAGGCTTCCCCTACTATTTCTTACTAGAAAGGGACCCTCAGCTCATTGCTTTGCTCTCACCTACTGCTACATCCCTCCAGCTTCCAGCTTATAGGCACCCTTTCCCAGATGCCTACCCCATAGGACACTGTGCCTCACAATTCAGGGGCTCCTTTGGGGATGCTTACTGGAGAAATAAATACACAAGAATTATCAGGATCCTCAAACCGCATACTTTGAAACCCGCATGAAAGAAATATGCAGGTCTGGCTAAAAGCACAACAACCCACATGCTTCTCTCTACTCCATGCACTCTGCCTTTCTGAGTGCTATCTGAGGCCATCTCAGAACATAGCAGAGGGGTCCTGTGTGTTCTGCCCTGAGCCATGCAGCAAGTTTGTCCATGTCCAGCCTTGACAGACAGTTTCTCTCTTCTTCAACCAGTCCCTTCAACCAGGAGTTGCCTACCAGAAGATTTCTGTTCCTCTCCTGAACCCACACATTTTGCAGGTCAGGCACCTTCTAAAGGCTGACTTTCTGCTCTGTTTCTCCAAGCACACGCTGGCATCTCCTTTCATATCTCGCTGTAATATTTGAGACCCCTGCTTGTCCTCAGGCGACTGTAACAAGCAGCTACTTGTTCATAGAATCATAGAATGCTGAAGGTTGGCAGAGACCTCTAGAGCTCATCTAGTCCAACCCCCTGCACACGCAGGGTCACCTAGAGCACGTGGCACAGGACTGCGTCCAAGTGGGTTTGAAGATCTCCAGAGAAGGAGACTCC